CAAACTCAGGGAGGCAGTGAAGGACAGGAAGGCCTGGCGCGATATGGTTCATGAGGTCACGAAGAGTCGGACATGACTTAACGACTGAACAAGAAATTGCCCAATATACACTGAAGAGTGTGTAACACCCCACCCAGCCACCAGGGGGCAATATTTCTTATAGATTCCATTATATTGCCCTATTTTCCCCATAGAGCCTGTAATACATCATTGATCCACCAGGGGCTGAATTTCCTATACTGTAGATTGCAATTGTTGCAATAGGGCAATATAATGGTATCTATAGGAAATACTGCCCCTGATGGCAAAATGAGGTATTGCGGTCTAAATATTGTGTGGAAAATTGCTACAAAATCCGTTATATTGCCCTATTTTCCCCATAGAGCCTGCAATGTCTCATTGAGCTACCAAGCAGCACTATTTCCTACAGATTCCATTATATTGCCCTATTTGCTATATTGAGACTGCAATACCTCATTTTGCCACCAGGAGGCAGTATTTCCTAGAGATTCTATTATATTGCTCTATTTCCATGAGGTCAATGTGGAAAATAGGGCAATATAATAGAATCTCTAGGAAATACTTTATTAGCTTACACCTGCTAGACAGAATCTCACCAGACTAACTCTAACTCCCAAAATCTGCAACTAAACGCTCCGAATTCCTTAGGGTGGTGCCAGTCTCATCCTCTTAGCTTTCACATGCTCGGTCTGCAGGCTGAGGAGATGCTTGAGATTCTTCTCCCCGTGACCTTGGACCTCCTCACTCAAGTGCTCCATCACAAAAGCAGAACTATCTCGATGAGAGGCTGACTTAAACTCCAGACCCCATGCTTTAGGAAACACCCAGATCTTCAAGCATTTATGAAATTCTAGCATGATTACGGTCCCACAAAGCTCAGGGAATATGTTGTTCTAGAGGGGCAGGAAAGGTTTATGTGGAAAGGTTTCTTGGGAGGGGGGCAGAATATGCTGATCAGCTGCCCTACCAAAAGTCCAAAATCCAAGAACAAGGATATTAAAAGTATTAGATTCTACTGAGGGCAACTTTGGATAATTCACTGAATGTCAAGGGATCTATGGTGCCTTGAAGACTACAGAAATGAAACCTAGCTAGAATTTGCCTTTCTCTGAACAAAACCTGATGTAACTATTTCAAATGCACAAGGTGACTGGGAACACTTTATAGGCTTTTTTGTTTTACTGTAAAAATGGCCCACACATTCAGAAGAGGGCAGATTTCTTTCTCCAGAGTCTGATCTTCCCACAGCACTTGCAGGAATGACCATGTCGACATCAATCCTTCTCTGGACCCTTCAGCCTTTCGTAGCTTCTTCCTTCTATTGATAAAACACATATCCATAAACTTTAAAGTGGTTTAAAGTAGTATGGAATTCATCCCATCAAAGCTGGGCCCTTAATAGAGGTAATTAAAGGAGACAATTGTTTGGAACAGTTTAGCAATATAAAAATAGGAACCAAAGTTGAAATGAGTGCTTAAATCTTCCCCCGCCCATCCCATGCATTTCAGGTGTTTTGGGACTGCAGCTTGACCAGCCTCTGAAGGCCACATAGACTAGATCCTATGAATAAAGATGACAGAGGAGAGGAAAATTAGAACTCTTCCCCACTGCAGATATTACCTAATCCAAAAGGCATCTTGTCATTGACCACATACCTGTAAGGAATTGTTCCGCTACTAGAATGCCATAGTTTTTCCATCAGTCTTATAGGTTGGGAAAAAAGCCAGCTAGACTCATTTTTTGAATCTAGGAGTTGGAGTGAAGCTGGTATCACAATCAGAGCAACATTTTCCTGATAAACAGTGGATGATAGCTTCTGGAGCAGTATATGACCCCATAGCCTATCACGGTCCCTTGAGTCTCTTCTGGCCAGTCCAGAGTTGGGATTTACTCTATCCACGATTCCTCTTTGATTTTTTTCACTGTCAGCTACCTGTTCTTGAACCAGCTCTCAAAAGAGCTAAGCCAATGGATTCAAGACACCTTCCATCACGGAGCGCTTTCTTCCACATGACCTACTTGTCTTGGCTTCTGCAGGACACCATGGTTTTTGTCAATCTGGAGTCTGCCCATTGTGATGAATCTCAGTGGAAGTTCCCAAACGAGTTCAACCTCTCCAACTTTCTGAATGAAAAGGGAGAGTTCATGAAGCTGGAAGCTTTTTTGCCATTTTCAGCAGGTAAATTATTTCTCTGTTTTACTTTTAGTGACAATGTTTGTACAACACACAGAACCAGAAATTAGACAACCATGCTGAGTAGGGACATCATGTGAACACAGCCACTGGAACAGCTGAAAAGTGTACCCACATATTCACTTTTGGAACATCATCACCCATATTTGTGAAAGCGTTGCTGCAGATTCTCTGCGTGAAAGAATCCTTGCACAGGATAAATCAGAGAATATGCCAGTTCTTCAACCAGCTCTGGGCAATGCATGTTTTGCTGTGCTATTTCTCTCTCATCCAATAATCCTAAGGACACTAGTCAGTTTCATAGGACACACAAAACCACAAATCTGTATTTCAGGGGTGCTGCTTTATTGTAAAAGTGTATGCTGCTCTTTAATCATGGTTATAGACTTTCTTGTTATGTGAAACAGCCTCCATCATGGATTGCCATGAAATAGATAGCTATGTTAACATGCATTGCTCCTGTCTGTGAGTCAACAGAAAAGTATGCTGGCATTGTAAAATATCTATTGATCCCATCAAATGAAATTTAAACACTGTTAATATCAAAGTCTCAAAAATCACCAAATATTTAGATATCCCAAGATTCAAATACGCCTGCAAAATCTCTTTTTAATTGGAGAGTTAGATGGTCTAGCTACCCACCCTGAACTACCTGAATGGCAGCTCTCTTCTCCTTCACTTTGACTTTTCAGGACCAAGAGTCTGCTTAGAGGAAAACCTGGCTCGGATGGAGCTCTTCCTTTTCTTCACCAGGATTCTCAGAAACTTCCAGTTATTGTGGCCAGAAAAATGACAAGCACCAGATTTTACACCATACTTTGCGGGTTATACAATCTCCATCTCACTTTAAGGTTTTGCTGAAATGTCGCCAGACAACTAAGTAGGTCTAGGTGAGGATCTGCAAGACTGCCTCATTCTCCCCAGTGGCCAGCAACCATCTCTACTTCACATTTGCCACTTAAGATCTTTTTTTTTTTAAGGTTTTGCTGAAATGTCGCCAGACAACTAAGTAGGTCTAGGTGAGGATCTGCAAGACTGCCTCATTCTCCCCAGTGGCCAGCAACCATCTCTACTTCACATTTGCCACTTAAGATCTTTTTTAGAAATACAAATAAAGTGCTATTTTTTGCCAAATGATCCAGTGGATGATCAGGCTTGTTTATGATGATGATGATGATGATGAAATTCACTTTTCCAGGTCTCTGCTCTCCTTCTTCAAGGTTACTAGAATGGAGAAGAGCAGAGCGCACAGCTGGTTTATGAAATGGCTCTTCCTGGCATGAGAATCCAGGGCCCTTCCAGAACAGGGGAGATGTGCAGGGGAGGTGACAAAGGGGCTTCTGTCTTCAGGGGGCCCACCTGCCTTGCTCTTTACCAGTCAAGCTGACAAGCAAGGCCAGGTCAAGAAACGGACACCACTGGCATTCCAAGAATGGTACTTTACTTTGGAAATTTTATTTAGAGAATCTGGAAAGCCTCTCCAAACCATTCACGGCTCCTTTTGAAGGATAACAAAGTCAGAGTTGGGCTGTTCTGAGTGTCGTTCTCACACTGTCTACTTTCTTCCAGGGCTAAGTAACAAGTTTACCACCTCCTTCTCAAGGCCAGAGCCAAATTCATTTGCCTTGTATCAGAGGAGATCTAATGTTCTCCAAGAACCTCCAGATCTTCTTGTATAGAATTGCTAGATAAACAGAGTCCTTTTCACACTACGAAGGGTCCCTTCTGAAATGTTCCCTATGCCCTCCCTCTTTCTGTGGGCTGAGACATCTTTTACATTTCGGTTGTCCAGTCTGTGGCTCTCCCTCCTGTCTCCCAAGGTCATTCCCACACCCTGTTCTACTTTAACAGACCAACTAGAAGAAAGTGTTGCCGGTGGTCTGTTATGATGAAGGGGTTGGAGAAAAACCTCAGGATTTAAACCTTGGGATAAACTTAAATATGTGGATAGGACAGATTCTTGTACTCTGTAAAAGCTGATCTTTGTGGTCACTGGGGCACATCTGTACTGGATTCTCTGAGTTATGTCACTCAATGTCAGGATCTATGCAAGCTATAAACCTTAATTGCTTTTAACTTAGTATAGAGATGTATATTAAATGGTTAATGGTAAAAATGTTAATTGCAGGCTGCTTGCTTGACCTGCCATTGAAGTTAGGAGTAAGGGGGGGAGAAGATGCCAGGTGTTGTTATCTCTACAGAGGCGCCTACAAGGTCAAGCACTGTGAGAGCCGAGTGAGGCTAGAATAATTTCAAGCAGGAAAAGAAAGGAGAAGGGGG